GCTCGCTCCCTCCTCCCTCCCCTTCCTCCCTGGCCCTGCCTCCTCCCTCGATCCCCGGCTGGATGACTGAGGCATTTCAGACTTGGGCTGAGCGAGAACAGGCGAGCGAGCTCTGGGCTGCGGCGATCTCTCGATAAGCCACCTAGAGGCGACTCGGTGCGCGCGCTCCCCAGTGGCGCCCGCCCTCCCTCTGATCATGTTGACATATTCACAGGACAGGCAGTAGTACCGATGCGGCGCAGCGACGTTACAGTTTCCGACACCTTCTTTTTATAACTCGGCTCTATCCCTCCCAGCACTCGACCTGTGAAAACCACGCCTATGCAGCAACACAATTGGTCCGAAAGCGTCAAAGAGCCAATCAAGAGGCCCCCGGCTCCCCGCGGCCCAGAGCAGAGCCCGACCTTCTAGAGCCGCCGAGCAGACGCCCGGGGAATTCTAGAGGCGGTGGAGGGTGGCGAGGAGCTCTCGCCGGCTGGCTCGCTCCCTCCCTCTCCTCGCGCTCCCTCTCCCACTCCGTCCCTCTCTTTCTCTCTTTCTCTCTCCCTCCTTTTTCCTCGCCCCCCCCCCTCCCTCCAGACTCTCTACCCTGTGCGTCTGGACGCAGATTTAGGAAGCGAATTCGCTCACGTTTTAGGACACGGAAGACGGCAGGCGCGGGAGCAGAGCACGGCCAGATTCGGATTGAAACCCGGACACCCTCCGGAGGCTCGGCTCGGAGCGGAGGAAGGAGGAGGAGGAGGCGGCGGACGGAAGCCAGTGTGCAGTTCAAGTTTTGATAGCGCTGCTAGGAGAGGGCCTAAATCAGAGATTTTTTTCTTTTTTTTTTTTTAAGGAGAGAAACTTTTTCCGCTGTCTCGCCGGCGGTGCAAGCCGGGTCGAGCGCAACTGCAGGCGCCTCCTGCGAGGAAGGGAGAGGAACAGAGATAGGAGGGCGGGGGACGAAGGAGGAGAAGAAAAGGTAAAAAGTCTCCTAGGAGGACCGTTCGCGTTTGCAACAAAGAACTGGGGGCTGGGGCGCGCGGTCCCTGGGACCCAGGGCTGCGTGTCCGTTTGGAGCTGAGCAGCGGGGCTCGGGCGCGAGGCGTCAGCCTGCTCGCTCCTCTCGCTTCCGAAACCGACTTGCAGGGGCGGCTTTCTAAACGCGCCAGACGCCAGGACAGTCACCCCGCGACCATGTCTCCCGATCGCTCGCCTTGCCCCCTTTAAAAGCGGCGTTCTCGTCCCCAAAAGACACTTGAGACACTGAACACCCTCCCTTCGAGGTGCTTTGGTTGCGATTTTTTTTTCTTTTCGCCTATTTTTTAAAAACTATGTGCTGCTGTTAAGCAAAACAAAACAGCAGCTGCGGACTCGTGCCCGCGGAAGCCCAGCGCCCCGCCCGGAGTGGAGGAACCTCTCCATGAGAGATCCGGTCATTCCTGGGACAAGCATGGCCTACCATCCGTTCCTACCTCACCGGGCGCCGGACTTCGCCATGAGCGCGGTGCTGGGGCACCAGCCGCCCTTCTTCCCCGCGCTGACTCTGCCTCCCAACGGTGCCGCGGCGCTCTCGCTGCCCGGCGCTCTGGCCAAGCCGATCATGGATCAGTTAGTGGGGGCTGCCGAGACCGGCATCCCTTTCTCGTCCCTGGGGCCCCAGGCGCATCTGCGGCCTCTGAAGACCATGGAGCCCGAAGAAGAGGTGGAGGATGACCCCAAGGTGCACCTCGAGGCGAAGGAACTTTGGGATCAGTTCCACAAGCGGGGCACGGAGATGGTCATCACCAAGTCGGGAAGGTAAGCGAGCAGAGGGCCCCCTCCCCAGACTCGTGGAGGGTTTTTCCTCCCTTTCCCTCTCCTCCCAGAACAGTGGGTTCGTCAGTCCGTGTGGCTGACGGGGAAAACTTGGGTTCCCCTGGAACTGTGCAAAGACTCCGGGCCTGCCCGGTGCAGGCGATTTCAGCTTACCTGGGTGTCAGCCGGCGCTGGCGTTCCCTGCCTAACTCTGCAAGCCTGGGTTTCTGACGGGATAGAGTTTTAAGGAGAGCCCAGACCTACTCTGCAGGAAGAAAGAAACCCACCCCACAGCATGCAGTCTCCCTGTTCAAACCTTTCTGGAACATCCTTCTGGCTTTGTTGATGTTGTGTTTTTTGTCTGCTTCATTTTGTGCTCACAGACAAAAACTTCAAGCCCCTTTCTTTTGTGTGGGAGCCAGAGGCCTGACACCAGCTCCTCCGGCCCTTTCTGTCCACCAGACGGGCCTCTGGGGCTGGAGGGGCCCTGAGCCCGAGGCTGCCAGGTCAGAGAGGAGTCGCAGGGCAGCTGGGTTTGTTTGTCCACGCGCTTCACGTGTCCCTAATCCAAGGGAGAGTTCAGCCGGCGATTGGGGGATCATTAAGACTATGTTTGCAGACTCAAGGAGCCAGTTGGGGAGACCTAGACACATGCTTCTGTTTTGTGTGTAAATGTTCTCCACCATATTTTACATGAGGTCCTTGCCTGAAAATCAAAGATTTTTTTTTTATGGCCTTGAAGTCGATCAAGGCATAAAGTTGGAAGAATAGAAATAAAATGCCGCTCAAGATGTCTTCAGCTTTCTCTGTCTATCCCAGTCACCTGAGGCCAAAGTTCAGGACAGAAATCCTCAAACCCAGGAGACATTTAGCCAGTTTCCCCGAGACGTGCTTCCTTTTAAGTCGTGAGGATAGAACCCCAGCACTTCTGGGGAACAGGCGGCGGTTTGGGGGCCCAGGCTGGCCGTTTGGGACTGGCCTGTGCCGTGGGGGAGTGTAGTGAGCTGCGCCCGGGCGGGCTGGTTATCGGGCCTGGGAGTTCACCCCAAGCTACAAAATTCGGCTTTAGAAGGCGCCGAAGTCCAGTTTCATTTTTCGCCAGCAGCGGGATTGCTCCTCTGAAGCGGGGCTGCTTCAGAATAAACTGGACGTTCATTTCCTTGATAAGTGAAACATTTTCTCCTGGGCGAGCGGTGAAAAATTCCGGCTTTAACTGACCGCACTTTGAAAACCCTACCCTGAGCGGTGTAGAGCTGGTCCGGGGATAAGGCAGGGGCAAGAACCTGTGAAGTCACATGGACAGGAAAATATATAAAGTGAGGAGACCCTGTAGAGAAATGGAACTCTACCCCTCACTTGTTTTGAATCTTGAGGCACTTAAAGATAAATTAAAATCTGATTGATACTTCTGCTGTTGCAAGAAAACTATGTTGCGCCCAGCCGCTCCACTCTGAAACAGAGAAGCTCACCCAAAGCATTTTAAATTTGATTTAAGTATTTTAGGGTAGATAGAGGATCAAACCCAAGATTCTAAAGTGACATGTTTTTCTTTCTTTTCCCATCTCTCTTATTCCAGGCGAATGTTTCCGCCATTTAAAGTAAGATGTTCTGGGCTGGATAAAAAAGCCAAGTATATTTTGTTGATGGACATTATAGCCGCCGATGACTGTCGGTATAAATTTCACAATTCTCGGTGGATGGTGGCGGGTAAGGCTGACCCTGAAATGCCAAAGAGAATGTATATTCACCCGGACAGCCCGGCTACCGGGGAACAGTGGATGTCCAAAGTTGTCACTTTCCACAAACTGAAACTCACCAACAACATTTCGGACAAGCATGGATTTGTAAGTTTCATCGCTCCTTTCAGTAAAAAGTTCTCTCTCTCTCTCTCTGCTCTAGCAAAGGCAGCTTCCCCCTGGCCATGGGAAATCTCAGGCTTCTCTCTTCCTCTCTGTGGCCAAAGGTAGGGAACTTGTTGGATCCGGAGCAGAGCGTGTTTCTCTCCGGAGAAGGGAAGGCCCAGTCTTTCTACAAGAAGCGCACCTCGGGGCTCCTGTTCTGGGGCAGTTGTAGGGCTTGGGAAATGCCTGCCCTGACAGTAAAAGTCCAAAACCAACCGCTAGAAACTCAGTTTTTAAAAAAAGTCATGTGTTCATCAAGGTTTTCAGATAATCCTTCTTCTCTTTTGAAATCAGCCATAGTATTTCTTGGGAGAGTGTGAAAGTTCGAGGCTTCTAGGAGGTTGTGAAAGGGTGTGAGTGCATTTTTGGAAAGACCTTTTTGGGGTTTTTTTTTCTTCTCTTTTACTCGAAAAGAATTGGGCTTGGGTGAAAGTCAGGTTTTATTAGAAATGAGACTGACCTCCGGAATCAAAATTGTGTGTGTGTGTGTTGGGAGTATATATATATATTTATATATGTGGTGGGAGCATACTTAGAAACGTCCCGGAGACGTGGATGGCTTGTAAAAGTCTAGCGAAGGACCTTTTGCCCCGGCCCCTACCCCTCCCCAACATTTCAACAAAAATAAACAGTGATAAGCGAGCAATAAGCAGCAAGATTAGGCCCAGGAAGGCAAGGAGGGCGCAGAAATTTCTTCAGCGGCAGGAATTGCATTTGAAGCCCTTGATTTGATTAAGGCATAAATATTCCTCTCTGGAGTTCAGCCTCTCTGGTCTTTAAGTGGATTGGGCTCGTCAATTAGTGGACGCTTAAAGGACTGAATCATTTTGTAAATTAAAATGCATGTTTTTTTCTATCTTTTAAGACTTTGGCCTTCCCAAGCGATCACGCAGCGTGGCAGGGGAATTATAGTTTTGGTACTCAGGTAGGCTAGGGTTCAAGGTTCGGATGAACCTGAGATGGTGAGGGTGGGGGGGACCCTTTGGAAGCTGATGAGCCATTTGGAGTCTCCAGAAGATAACATTTGTCGAGTGACAAGTGCCCAAGGAGGTGCTCCCTGGAGGGGGGCTCGGTGCCAGCGCGGTGCCCTCCGGTGGGGTAGCTGTCAGCCTGGCAGGGGTCCGAGGACCCTGCTTGTCCCGCTAAGCACCCTTTTTGCTGTGTCTCTCTCCCCCGCCTGCCCCTGCAGACTATACTCAACTCCATGCACAAATACCAGCCCCGATTTCATATCGTGAGAGCCAATGACATCCTGAAACTTCCATATAGTACATTTCGGACGTACTTGTTCCCCGAAACCGAGTTCATCGCTGTGACAGCATACCAGAATGACAAGGTAATCCGAGACGCTTTTGGGGGGCCTTAAGGTGCGACTGCTCCAGCCCTTTAAGCTGCTCTGGGTGAGGGTGAGAATTGGGATGGGGGTCTTGCATTTTCTTTTGCCATTGGACCGTCCGTGGAGCTTTGGGGAGTGGGGAAGGGGAAGTGGTACCTTGCAGAGGCAGAAGAAAAAGAAAACAACAACAACAAAAACCCACTTAACCAACTAGGATTCAAGGCAGAGTGAAAAAAATGCCAAACTGACTGCAGGCGAGAAGCTCCCAGTGACCAGCCTCTGATGCCACCCGCCCCACCCCCACCCTTGACCCCAGGGCTTTCTGCTGTTTGCTCCGAGGTTTATCCTCTTCCCCTTCAGGAAGAAGGATCAAGAAATCAGGTTCCCAAGGAACCAGCGAAAGATTTAAGGCAGCAGCCAGGGGGGATCCTGGGAGAAGGATCCCAGTGGAGCCTCCTCTCTCTCTTAGCCAGAAATCCGCGAGGAGCTGGTCTGGTTTTTATTACCTTCTATGCTGCTGTGTTTTTTATGGTGTGTCAAACCTGTGTGCGTGCGTGTGCGTGTGCGTGTGCGTGTGTGTGTGTGTGTGTGAGTGTGTGCTTGGAAAAACTTACTCTGATCACAGGGTCATACTAATTGAGTTGTCTGAAGCTTTTGAGAGGAGGTGACCAAAGTCACCACTTCATTGGAAGTTGCTTCTTCCCTCCCCGGGCCTGAGGCCGGGGATTAGGAGTGTCCCAAATGGAACAGCAGGCAGCACCTGGTGTGTACAGTTATGGTGGCCTGAAGGTCATGGGCACGGAGCGGAGCACAGAGACACTTTTAGCAGGCAGTGTGGGGGGTGGGGGGTGGGGGCTGAGGACCCCTGCTCTTCAACTTCTGAACCCTGGTCCGCAGTGTGAGTGCCGCCCCAGGGACAACACCCCGCATTTTGAATTCACTGTCACTGTAGGGGGTTCCTCTGGGGCCGGCTGTTTCAGGTGTGGCGCCTTAGGACTAAGGTATCATGGCCTCCTGTCCCTGCAAGTCTAAGCGCACCAGCATTGATTCCAAGAACAAGGATTCAGCCAGGGGGCCCTTTGCTTCCTCCAGGGACCTCCAGGCACATTATTATCCCCCCAAAGGGAAGGGATTTGGAAGAGGACATAGAGGGCATTTCCCCTCGTCCCACAGAACGCACGCTCCCTCTAGCCCCAGAGCCCCACACTCTTACCTTGTTACTGTAATAATCAATTGTAGCAATTTTGATCAGACAAAGAGACCACGGGCCTTCTCTCCCTAATGGCCGTGGCAGAAGCATATAAATGAAAACAAATGTTTCCAGTGGTCATCCAGTCCTTTTAAATCTATAATTGTCAATATTATAACTCCTTAAGCACCCACCCCACCCAGGAAAAAAAAATCAAGCCCACTCTGGCATAAGGGTAGCAGAACCCCATAAGTCATCTCATTAGATTCACAGAAAAAGGTTGGAGTGTACGGTGTGTGCGCGCGTTTGTGTGTGTGGTGTGTGTGGGGCTGAGAAATGTGCCACAACGCATCTGATGATTAATTGCACGGTATTAAAAAAACGCAAAACGAAAGCATACCTTTAAAGTCTACAGGTTGTCCCTTTTGACAATTCTGACAACTTTTCCATTTCTAAGCCCAGGCTGTTGGCTGCCCTGAGAAAAGAATGAGGCATCTCCCAGGTGGGGCCCTTTCAGCCTGGAGTCCTGGTTTAGCCCCCTCTGGAAGAGGCACACGAGGTGGGGGGGTCCCCTTTGAGTTTTACCTCCGGCCCCTCCATACATCTGCCTGTAACGCCTCTCCCTTTCTCTTCAACCTAGCACATCCCAGCGACCTCCCCTGTTGGCAGTCAAGGCTCTAGTGAACTGCTAAGTTGAGGGAAACACTCAGAACATTCTAGAACACGAGGCCAACGTGTCTTTCTTGCTTGTGTGTCCTCCTCTAGATAACCCAGTTAAAAATAGACAACAACCCTTTTGCGAAAGGATTCCGGGACACTGGAAATGGCCGGAGAGAGAAAAGGTGAGCTGAGACAATTATTTCTTTCTCAGATAATTTAGAAAAATCACTTCGCTAGGTCCCAAGTCTCAACTGTGGGGTGCAGGCCCTTATATTAGGGGAGGGAGGAGAAGGTGGTCGTGAACTCCCCTCTGCCACATGCTTGCTGGTTTCTATACACTGGTTCTTCTAACACCTACATGTCACCTTAAAGGACGTTAGCTAGGCCACACCATGGTTCTCTCGGGAAGAAAAAGGACAGTGATAATCAGCTATATACAGATGCTATTAATTCCTAATTAATTGAAGTTACTCCTGGACAGGTCCCGGGAAAGGACTAAGCCATTCACAAAATGCTTTGGAATTTTTGCAAATACCATCAGACAGAACGGAGGCCCCTGGAGCAACCTGGGGCCCCCTCCTTTGTGGGTACAGGGATCATTTTGCATCAAGCAGACAGCTGGAGAGGCTATGAAAGGAGCTCTCCCCTCCCCCCACCCGCTTTCAAAGAATTTCTAAAATCCAGAAAATTAACCCAAATTTTTAACTTACCCCCTGAGGGAAGGCAGGCGCTAAAAAGTAATTTCTAACGTCTAAGTAGGTTTTTTTCCCCTCCTCCAATTAATAGGGACGGATCACAGATAAGTGCAGCGTGAAATAACCACTTCCTCCCCTCTTAGCCACCAGTGGGGAGTTTGTCGGCTTTTTGTTTTTAAACCAAATCACAGCCCACACCCTTTCCCTAATGCACCTGAAGCCATCTTCCACCGGACGACACCCCTGGGCCACCGTCTTCAGCCCAGGGAGAGGGTCAGGAACAATGTGTGGGTCTGTGTGGCTGTCCCCGGGGCCTGGGGCCCCCTCCTTTGCTTGTGGCCCGGGGTGAGGTGCGCGCCTCCGGGGAGAGGGTGAGCCACGGGGACGGGGCGATCTGTGCTGACGCTGGTGTGGGCTTCTGCAGGAAACAGCTCACCCTCCAGTCCATGAGGGTGTACGAGGACCGGCACAAAAAGGACACGGGCACCTCGGACGAGTCCTCCAGCGAGCAGGCAGCCTTCAGCTGCTTCGCTCAGTCCTCCTCCCCGGCTGTCTCCACTGTTGGCACCTCCAACCTCAAAGGTAAGCCAGCCTGGGCACCTGGATGATGTCCGGACTCCAGTCATGGAGGCCTGGGGGAGTGGGGGGCTGGGGCACCCACCAGAGAGCTTGCCCCTCACAATCTGCAGACCTTCCTAGAAGTCCCTAAACAGGAGCCAGTGCTCCAGAAGGGGCCCAGGTGTGTCCTCCCCTCCCTGAGCTGGTATAAGGTGTGGGCAGAACCCCTTCCCTCAAACCTCAGTTTGGCTGTGAGTAGGGTGGTGTCTGTATATTTCCTCTGGGCGGGGGCAGCTTAGAAAACATGCCTGGGACCCCCCCCCTTCCTACCCCCCCCCCACACACACACACTGTCTCCAAACAACTACTGACTTTCTACCATCTTTGACCTCAAAAGTCAGACGTGTTGGGCTAGGGGTGGGCGGAGGAGGGAGGCCAGGGATTCCCCACCACCTGGAAAGGGAAGGTGACCTAGAACACCTCCAGTGGTAGAGCCACAACCTGTGAGAGGGGATGGGCCTCGGGGTGTGAGTCCCGGAGGGAGGGGATGGTTCAAATCCCCAGTCCGTTTCCTGTGTTTAAAGAGCAAAGAACTATTTATCTGGAAAGACACACACGCTCTCGCAACGGGAAGAGACCTGTTTTTCCGTTTCATCAAATGGAAGTCCTTTATGTCTTCAATCCATTTAAGCTTTAAACATAACATTAGATGCCTTTGCCGTTTTTTTTCTGGTGGGACACCCACCGAGGGTGTGGTGAAAGCAAAAGGAACCTACCCTTGTCAGGGGGCAGGGAGGGGGCGGCCCAGCACCCATCTCTGTCTGCAGGGAAGGGGCAGTCAGAGGCTCCCCTGAGTGTGTGTGTTGGGGGCAGGGAGCGCGTTTCTGCCACCACCAATTCAGGTGTCAGGGTTCTCTCCAAACAAATCCTTCCCCAAGAATTCACAAATTTGTGGAAGGCACTGATCAGCCACTAAACAAAGACCCGGATGGTGGCTAGGAGGTGTTCCCACAGTGAGTTTTAGTGCGAGTCCTTGTTATTTAAAAGAAATTTGCAACTGAAAGGCAAGTAAAGGCAGTCTGACAGCAGTAGGAGCCAAATC